GCTTTCTGGGGTGTTTTCCAGCAGGTAGCAGTAACACGTAGCAGCAAGAGCATGGATGCTGGAGCAGATGATCTCTAATATCAGCTGTGAGACGTGGGATAAATTACATAAGTCTCTGTGCCTTGATTTCCCTATCCATATCATGGAAATGTTGATAATGATAATACATACCTCATAGCACTGTTGTAAGGATTAAATGAGTTAATACATGCAACAAGTTTAGAACAGGGCCTGGCACACATAAGGTGTGAGATGGGTGTTTGCAATATTGTATATTCTTTTCTTTAAAGATTTATTTTTATTTATTTATTTGAGAGAGAGAGAATGCACACAAGCAGGGCGTGGAGCAGAGGGAGAGGGAGGGGGAGAAGAAGAGAAGCAGACTCCCTGCAGAGTGTGGAGCCTGACGGGGGCGGGGAGGAGGGGGAGGGCTTGATCTCATGACCCTGAGATCATGACCTGAGCTGAAATCAAGAGTCAGATGCTCAACCGACTGAGCCACCCAGGAGCCCCCAATAATGTATATTCTTATGAGCTGCTCAGAGGCACAGGGTTTTTCAAATCTTTTTCGAGAAGCTAGCCCTGCCCTTTCTGACACGTGTTTTTCCGTAGGCTCCTCTGAACATGAGGGGTCCTGATGAGTGTCCTGCACCATTCTATTGCTTTGGACTGTCTGCTGAAGGCAGGATGATAATGATGATAATTTGTGAATGGGTGAAGGGTTCCCTGGGAGCCCAGGCATGGGTGTCTCTGGGGGCTGATATCCTTCCCATCACTGCCAAATATACACACTGGCTTTTTTAAGATCAGGGAAAAACCTCTTCTAAGCAATTTCCACCTACTGCTATCTTCTTTTGGCAGTAGTAGGGTAATAGCCCAAAGCTAAAAAAGCAGGAGCAGTATTTATCAATTGATTGATTAACTAACAATCAGTCAACAAGTATTTAAGCAGTGTTTTCTACGTGTTTAGCGCTGTGTTAACTGTCCCCTGAGGAAATAAAAGAAATACAAGACAAAATCCCAAACCTCAAGTTAGGGCCCCAAAATGACTAACTGGGAAATAACTGTAAAGCAGCTACTAAATCTAGATGTAGAGAGCAAAGTATTCGGAGAAGAATTTCTATGGCTGTGAATGATATTCTGGAGGGTTTGGGCCCTAAACTGGATCCTCAATGATGAATCTGCATTCAAAACGGAAGGCCTGGGACCAAGCTGGTTTTCTGTACACTGCCTCAGTCTGACTAGAGGGCTGCGGGTGTGAGAGAACAGAGCGCATAACGTTGGACAGGTACTGAGACCAGATTTTAAAGAAGCTTAAAAATCAGGCAGAGACACTGGGGGCTTTCCAGGCAGGACTGAGCAGTGGTGAAAGTACCAAAGTCAGAGTTGAGATGGTCCTGATGTAACTCAGCTCTACCACCAACCAGCTGGGTGATCTTCAGCCCATCACTTGCCTGGACCCAGGAATGAGTGAGATGGCCCACTCTAGCTCCCATATTTCTGATGTGGGAGGCAATAAGAAGTTACTGAGGTCTCCTGAAAATGCCACATGGAAAGGAAATGTGTGGTAATGTGTGAGGGATGGGTAATACTATCAGGGAGACCAGCTGGCTACTGCCAAAGCCCAAGAATGTATAACAAAGTAAAGTACGTTGCTAAGAAAATGAAGTCAGAAGGGTAAATTCAAGAGACAGCAACAGTAGCATCTAGATAGCAACGGATAGGATGAAAAGCAGCCACAAGTCTAGAGCCGAGGGCTTGGCCATTTGGATGTAGGAATAAGAGGATGAGTTAAAGATAATTCTAAAGCTTTTGGCAATGAATTTAGAACCCCAGCCTCTACACATTCCATAAAGGTGACAGAACTTTGTGGACAGAAACATTGGCTTGGTGGTCAGACTGACTTGGGATTGAGTTTGGCTCCATCTTTCCCTAACTGAATGACTTGGGCAAGTTTTGAAACTTCTATAGATAAGGATAACAGAACCTGCTTTATAGCATTATGGTAAAGTTCACATGAGATAACACACTTAAAAGGATCAGCATTTCCCTTTGCACATGGTAAGTGCTCTGTTGATGTTAGCTTTTATTGCTTCTTAACTGAGCACTTATTAAGTGTTACACAGTGTGATAGCTGTCAGGATTCAGAGAGGAAAGAGGCATGGGCTCTGCCCTGATGACACCCACAGATAAGTATCATCTCCTGTGCAGGGAGAATTGTCCCCACATCCCCTGTAAGCCTTCTCCGGACTAACTAAAATGGCGCCTCTTTATGTAGGCAAAGGAAGAGCTATAGAGTTCTACAGATGTGTCTCCTTTCATACTCTGTCTGTGTCTCATCAGGAGGGGACCAAGTTACTATCAGAAAATAGACACGGCATTCTGCAGACCTATCTATAACCCAGGCTAACATGCCACCAGCCCCGTTCACCCCCTCAAAGATAATACTTCTCTCTCCTTATCTCTTTCCTTTCATGACCTGATCAAAGCAATACATCAGAAAACACAAACATTTGTCTACATCAAATAAGCCTTGAGCGTACCTCTGAAATAATTCTTTCCATTTAAAAATGTGAGTGTAGTTTTAGGATGCTTCTATGTTTGCAACTTGTCCACACCAACTGATGTGCACCTGAAATTTTTCCATGATGGGGAGGAGAATTAGAAGTTCTCAGGAAACACAGGAGTCACTTTGTTTTTCCTCTGCTCTGTGCTTTACACATTCACGCTTATTTCTTCATACCCACTGGTGGCCACAGGAGTCCAAGACAAAGAAGGAGTGCGGAGAACATCTGCTTCTCCATGGAGACCCTCTGTTTTTAGACATGAGCCTCTGAAGGAAGGTAGCTGGGACATGAGAACCTTCCTAGGTCTCTTGGCCAACTTACCTTCTCAAGGGAATTAGAAGCAGACTTCTTTTCTCCGTCCTCTTAGAGACTGTTCTGCCAGAAGACATACTTTTTGGATCATTAGAGAAAGTTAGAGAGGTCAACTCTCTTGGTTTCATAAGGGTAGAGAGGCCGACAAGAAACAGGTCTTTGAAACTCTGCAACAAACTCACTGCAAATGCAACATAAGATACAGAGGAAGAATTCGTAGGTGAAAGGGAGTTGTAGGGGTAAGGGAGGAAAAATCTGCATAACTGTTTGAGAGCCTTGACTCAGAGGTATGAAGAATTTTTGCAGGAGGATGGGCTGGGCCTGATATCTGGGGTTTTGTAGTCTCTTATTCCCTTCTCCTGACCATTGTTCAAATGAGATTGGGCCAATTCTGGGAACTTATACCTTCTCCCTGTCACATTCCTGTTAACTGGCTCCACTTCAACAGATAGCCTCTTTTGGACGGCACACAGACCCTTGACATCAGCAAGGATTGATGATGTCCAGAGCCATCCACAAATCTGCAAGTTTGTGAACATGGAAACATTTGTACAAGCTCCTGGCTTTCTCCCAAACCACATGTTTCTTATACATTGCCTCCCATCACAGGTTAACCACCTTTTCAACTAGAACTGAAGTTCAATCTATCACATTATGATGATTTTTCTTTTTTCTCACACATAAACCAGTTTTCATTAAAGGAAAAACAAACAAACAAACCACTTTGTGAAAGTTCTTGCAAGACCAGCAATGAATGAAGAGCCATAGCAGCATAAGAAACTGGGTGGTCAGGGGTCTCCTAAGGGAGTCCCCTTTGTATAGCACCTCTAAGAGGCCCAAGATTCAAAGCTGGGCCTCTACATGCAACAGATCGCTGTGTGTTATGAGCCTTCGTGGTTGCTCATGAACAGTCTAAATTGAGAACTTAGGTCTGGGAGTACCACAGGCTTCCTTCCTCTCCAAACTTCATTCTTGGTCCTCTCAGACCACAGATTCCATGGCACACGGGAGAACTCCCTTCCCACTGAACCTCTGGGCAGACGCAGGCACAGAAGAAGAGCAATAATGAAAACAACTTCTTCCCGAAGATCTGTATAATTCAAGCCCACCTCCTATACCTTCCACATGTGGGAAACAATAGAGGGTGTTTATCATATGACCCTAGGTCTTCTGAACAATCAAGGAAAGATCAACCTCCTATATCTGTTGATGATTCATTTCTTCCTGTTTACCAATCAGACTTGAAGCAGTGTCTAATGAAAGATAAATAGGTGATCTTGAAAACAAGAGTAGAAGGTCAAAAACTCTGTAGAGGGAGGGGAAATAAGCTTATCAGAAACCTATACAGATATAATTACTGTGATTGAGTATTGCATTTAGTTCAGTTTCCTGGCAACAAAGGCAAAAAGAAAAAAAAAAACAACAAATTTTCTTCAGGAGAGAGATGCTTTTTCTTGGTAACAAATCTTGAATGTGGGACTTATGCAAAGGAATTCAATGACAGAGTGGACAGTGCCCTAATGGTATTTACAAAATGGTCAAAATATTTCATATATAACCATTTCCTAAGTCACCCCTTAATAACAGTAGGAATCAACTCATTAAGAATACTTAGCCATAAAGTTTGCCTCAGAGAAAAAAAGTAAAATAATCACTATCAAGTTGGAGGGGTAAGGAGTGGGTAGAGATACAGGTGAAAGAAAAATGGTAGAATGTTGATAATTATTGAAACTGAGTTGAAGGTATATAGGGGTCACTGCACTATTCTATTTATTTGCATACATTTGAAATTTTCCACAATAAAAAACCAAACCAAACCAAACCAAACCAACATAGCTGAAAGCATTTGGCAGCCCGGGAAGTTGAGCTGATATGTTCTCTAACAAAGACTATATTCTGTTTGATGAAGTTTTAAGGTAAGCAGATATAAAGTTATACTCAGTCTTTGAAAATTGATCAGTTGGGCTGTGGAGCACTTGATAATATTCAGAACCAGCCCCAAGGCACCATAGACTTTACTAGATAAGCAAGCACATGCCCAGCTAATCGTGGCGGCAGGTTATGGACACACTTAAGACAGCAAGCTACCAAGGAAGGGAGGAGAAAGCCAGATTCAGATACCTTCACTGCAGTTCTTCAGGGCAAAGAAGTCCACTGCAGACAAACTTCGGTTTCCACTTGAGATATATTCCAGGGCCACTCGGAAGGGATTCTCTGGGCGCCCAATTCTTCCCTGAAGCACCGTCCATCTGGTCACATTGGAATGCAGGGGGGAAGAGCAGAGAGAAACAGTGATGAGAAGCAGGCCTAACTTGCACAGAGATTCTGTAGTGATTTCTAGGCCCACACTCTTCATGGGCCGCAACCGATGCAACCCTAAGAAGCTCTGAGAACAACTCTGACAGCAACATGCAAACGTTTGTTTCCTTCTTGTCCAACTAACCCAGAGACCCACTTCTCAAACCCACTGTAGCCACTGGTGTTTCTTTCGTTATATTCTTTCAGGCAACTGCAGACCTTTGGACTGCTTTAGTAGTTAATCTTACGGGAAAAGAATATATGTACTTAAGAATATCTGCTGGCAGAGTGAAGGGATAGTCTTCAAAAACATGTATCGGTGGATCCGTAATTATCTTTGGAAAGAATTTTGGCTTTCAGAATTTTTTCTGATCCCAGAGTCTCATAACCCTTGAGTTTGCTATGTGGTCACTTAAGGATTGAAGCAAGCAAGGGCTATTTATTTACTTCAGGAAAATTAAAGTGCACCAAAGCATGTAGTTTGGGGTAAAAGGTACCTAAGATTGGTGTGAACTCTGCAAAATGGTGCAAACAGAAGAAGATAGAAGTAGGTCAAATGGTGAGCTCTGCAGCCATCTATGATCAAGGACACGGACACCGCTGGAGAACAGAGAATAAGCTGAATGAACATTTTTTACACCTCACTCATGCTATTAACCTCTTGGAATAGCCTCCTGTCACTGATTGGAACATCAAATTTCTTTTCTGCCATTGATTCAGGTTTCTTAAACATACACAATTATGTTGACATTTTGCGTGGTGAATCACAATTACCTGGACTACTTCATATTTTTTGTCCTTTAAAAACAGTTTTATTGAGGTATAATTGACATACAATAAATTGCATGTCCTAAAAATGCATAGCTTGGTGACTTAAAGTGTATGAATTGAGGAGGTTTGACAGAGGAATACACCCATGAACTCCTCACAGTGTTTCATAGTGTCCTACCATGATGTAAGGCCTTCGGTAGGCTGGGCAGTACAGTGCAAAGGAATTTAGGGAAAGATTAGCTTTCTGTTTTAAAAAAAAAAGTGTTTAAAGCACCCCCACCCCCGCAAGGTAGAAAGTGATGCTCACCGTAAAAAAATATTAAAGATCCAACCATTCAGAGAAGTTGGCAAAGGAAATTAAAAGTCACCCAGAAGCTCATTATCTAGAGATAACCATGGTGAATACCCCAGTGGAGGCTTTTAGTTACACTTTTATATAAACAAGGCCGTCATCTTCCACGTGCTCTCTGTGACTGGACTTGGCCACTCAATTGTATGTAGGGAGACAATAAATACAGACTATGTGATGAGTTCAAGGATTGCATTTTTAATGATTTGGGCATTGCTTCTGAGTTTTTCCCTTCACGATCATGCTGAAGCTAGCTCTGTGTATCTCTGTAAATACTGCCTTAAGACAAATTCTTAGAACCCCAGTTAAAGTGCATGCACATTGAGAACTCTGAGCATACTGTCAGTCCTCCAACAGTGCATCAGAGAGCCCATTTCTCCATCTGCTTGTTAACATTGGATCTCATCACATCTGTCCCGTCTTTGCTGCCTTTTGATGATGAAGGCATCGCCTAAGGCAATCGGTGGTCTTTCAGTGGGGTGCCCTTGCATGGCAGTTTTGAGTCTCCAGGCCTGCCACGTTGCGGGGTATGCAGTGGGAATCAGCTGAGTGAAGAAGGTAGTTTTGTTCTCTCTGCTCTTCTGTAGTTAATTCAGATCACCAGAGCCAATGCCTCAGCCACTTAATACAAGTGTATTAAGTTTCCCCACAATAGACGCTGTAGAAGGGATTATTGCTGTTGTAAAGTTTGTTCCCTGTTACGGTACCCAGCAGGATTTCTATCCAAAATAAAACCGGTGCAATTGAATAAGGAAAAGGAGCCCTTTCGGTTTAAATGTGGAGCTGTCAAAGAAATAAATATTTGAAAAGCAAATGTAAATGTGGCATTCTTAAGGAAAAAAAACACACAAACAAAGAGAGCAGAATTTTTCTTGTCCTTCTGAAAAAATAAAGAACCTTATTTTTGAGGAAAGATGGTGGAGAAACGCCTGACTATTCATATTCTGCCAAAATCGTAGCTCTCTGCTGCAAGGAATGATGGATTTTAATTCCAGGTACACTGTGGCCCTTGACAATGATTTCCATTTCTATATTGGCATTAGCCCTCTGGCTAAATGTGTCAAGAGTTTTAGGAATTAGTTTCTGAATTACTGATGCAATAACTTTTGTCTGAAATTCTCTGGCCTCCCATAGTTTACTGCTGCAGCTTTAATAACTTTCAAAGCAGTTGCCAAACATGTATTTTATGACTAGGGAAGTTGGGACAAGAAAAGGGCAAGTTTATATCTAGGGTCAGCTTTGTTTAAGAGACAGCAGAAACAGGAACAGCAAATGCAAGCTCTCTTTTCTGTCTGACTCCATTTTCTTTGCTCATATCCCTGCAGTCATGAAACTCCCTTATTAGGGTTCTATTTCCCTCTTTGGCTGTGGCAACTGTACTTGGGTTTGAGGGAGGGAAGGTTATGTTCTGACCTGGATCCTCCTAGAGACCAACGTGCAGCTGTGTCCATGGTCTGGGGATTTGTGGGTATCTTAGCACTGGTGCTTCAATCAATCAACGTGACAGTGTGGGGAGTCCATCTGGATTCTGGGAAGCCAGAAAGACTGTATGGTCAGCCTGTCACCATCCATTATCTTCCAGTTGTCTCTCTAGAGTTCTCCACTTCCAGTTTTGGCTCTGCCCCTCAAGTGTCTGATGACTTTGGATAAGGCACTCTACTCTGAATGCCTGAAATTTTGGATCTTTTCTGATCAATGTATTCTCAACCAGAGAAAGTGTCTCCAAATTTGTGTGAATTTGCTGAGGAAAAAAAACCTGACCACACATTTTTGCTGAGTGGTTACATCATACTGAATAAATTAGAACCCATGTTAAAAAAAAAAAAAGCCAGGAGAGTTGGTTTGTGAATATCAAGGTCCATTTCTGAGTTGGAGACTGAAAATAGTACCTATAAAGGCCACTCAGTTGGGAGTTGGGAGCTGAATCCTGGGTTCTGGTTTTGGATCTGCATGGGTTAGGGTATGTTCCTGTACCTCCTTGGGGTTTAGTTCCTTTGTTAGCAAAATGCAAGGATTGAATCAAAAGTTCTCCAAGGTCCCTTATTGATATGGTGCTTACACTTCTCTAGCAATTTGTAGGAGTCCTAGTGACAAAACACTTTATGAAAGCTGCAATGCACAAACAATATTCTACAGAAGGTGGAAGAAGTGATTAGTCAAAGAATTAGAGATTTATTATCTGTAAAGAGACTAAGTTCCATCCCTTCAGAGAAATGGAGCGACTTGCCCAAGGTCACATTTTTGGTTACCTGCAGACCTAAGATTAAAGTCAAGTATATTATTGCTCCCAGACTGCAAGGACAAGAGACAAGGCAACTTCTGGTTCAGTCTGTATACTCAGTCACCATACTCAGTCACCACTCCATATCACTGGAATCCCAGAAACAGAAAAGGAGGTATCTACTTTGCATTATTAGAAGAATCACCAGTCTGGGTTATAAGGATACACAGGCCAGCCAGATAGTAAAATACATCTTCAGAAAATGCACACACAAACCAAAAAATCCTAAGAAGCTCTGACATGGTCACAAGCATCTCCAAGGTTCCCCCACTCCATACCAGGTTAGTCTGTACATTTTTAAAGGAAACCGTCAGCACATCTGATGTGAAGCCAGCTGCTGATGAGATTGAAAGTTTAGTATCCATGACTCAAGGAGGATGAAGGCATGAAGTTATTTAAAGCCCAGAGAGGGGCACCTGGGTGGCTCAGTCGTTAAGCGTCTGCCTTCGGCTCAGGTCATAATGCCAGGGTCCTGGGATCGAGCCCCGCAATGGGTTCCCTGCTCCATGGGGAGTCTGCTTCTCCCTCTCCCACTCCCACTGCTTGTGTTCCCTCTCTCACTGTCTTTCTCTCTGTCAAATAAATAAAATCTTTAAAAAAAAAAAAGCCCAGAGAGAAGGGAACTTTTTGATGGCCCGTGAGGACTATGGACGGCAGCTGATAAGACAGAGAAATATGTGTTACTTTGCTATTGTGTGCTCTTCTAATAGGCATGATGTTGACATGGGGCTGGCTCACAAATTGAACCCTACATGCTATTCAATGGGATGCCTTTCTGAGATGGTTTTGGTTGTTGCAATATCGCGAGGCCTAGAGTCAGTTCTCAGCTCCACCATCTAGTTAGCTAAATGATCTTAAGCAAATAATTTAACTTCTCTGATCTTCAGTTTCCTTATTTTTAAGATGGAAATCATAATGCCTAGCTCACTGGATTGTTGTGAGGATTTGTCAGAAGGATGTATGCAAAGGGACATCCTTTTGGGGGTCTCAATAGTAGAAGCTATTTTTACAGAAGACCACAGCTTTCTTCATGGAATGGCACTGGTCCATGAAACTATCAGTATCTCAACTCATTTATGAAATTCAAGGGGGAAAGGAATGTAGGTAAAAGAAAGGGAGAACAGCATTCGTAATTTATCAATAGCAGACACCTTATTTACTTAAGCCAGAAAAAAGTCTTCATTTTTAAATGGATCTTCATGTGTTAAGCACAGCCCAAAGAAATCATGTTGAAATACCCAGACAACAAAATATATTAGTGACTATAACAGGAGGTCAACATTCTGCGCAGAGCCCTCCAAATGTACTTATCTTGCTTTAGAGTAAAAGCCTCTTATTTACCTTTGTATCTTCTTGTGGCATGTGGAAAGATGCCTTGTGTCGAGATGTTGGTTAGAATTTTTTGAATTGAATTCCATTTCTCTGGTATTTATTGGTGTGTTTTTGCCCACTAAATAAAGTATTAAATGCTCTGGGGATCCTAAGAGTTTAGGATTTAGCTTGGCACTCCTGGAGCTTACAGACTAGTGAGAAAGAGTGAAAGTAAATAC